GATAGTGTCAGATCCCAAAGTTTGAGGGTTTAGTCCCTAAGCATATTGATCTACTTCTGAAGCCAGGCCCAGGCCTTATTTTGTGTTTCTGACCCTATACATCCTTAGACTAATTTCCTAAAGTAGTTTATAGTATTCTGAAAAACATTTTTTAATCAACTTACTGTTAACAATACTTTAAAGAATAGAAATAAACAGGCAGGTGAAAGTGATACATAAGAGGAGACTTGAACTACTTCAAGTACAGTAGATCCATTAGCATACCAAATGCACTACCACTTTTGATATCCCTTAAATCTATAATGGCTCCCTCTATTATGGTATCTCTTTTCTTGTTTTTTCTTGTTCTTCTTTATTTTTCCCCAACTCAGTCTTCCTGCTCCTTCATGTTCTCCTCTCCCCTCCTCTTTTCCCCTCCTCTTTCTCCTAACTCCTTCTTCCCGTCCCCCACCTGCTCCCAATTTGCTCAGGAGTTCTTGTCTCTTTCTCCTTCTTAACATAGGGCCATGTTTTTCTCTCTTAGGGTCCTCCTAGTTTCCTACCTTCTCTGGGGGTGTGGATTGTAGGTTGGTGATCTTTTTCTCTGTCTAAAATCCACATATGAGTGAGTACGTATCATGTTCCTCTTTTAGTGACTGGGTTACCACACTCAGGTTGGGTTCTTCTAGTTCCATCCATTTACCTGCAAATTTCAAGATTCCATTGTTGTTTTTGTTTGTTTGGGTTTTTTTTGTTTGTTTGTTTTTTGTTTTTGTTTTTTTTTTTTTTTTTTGGCCGAGTAGTACTCTATTGTATAAATGTACCACGTACCACATTTTCTCCATCCATTCTTCAGTTAAGGGACATTTAGGTTGCTTCCAGGTAATGTTGTTATGTTATGTTATGCTATGAATATAGTTGAACAGATGTGCTTGTTGTATGTATATCTTTTTAGTGTAAACTTAAAAGCAGAATTATTGGATCTTGAGGTAGACAGATTCCCATTTTCCTGAGGAACGGGCATACTGATTTCCAAAATGGCTGTACTTTGTGTTCTCTCTCTCCACATCCTCTCCAGCATAAACTGTCTTTGGTATTTTTTATTTTAACCATTCTGGTATCTCAGAGTTGTTTTGATTTGCATTTCCCTGATAGCTGAGGACATTGAGCACTTTCTTAAGTGTCTTTCAGTCTTTTTGATTTCCTCTATTGAGAGTTCTCTGTTCAGTTCTGTACCCCACTTTTTAATTTGATTGTTTGGTGTTTTGGTAACTAGCTTCTTGATTTCTTTGTATATTTTGGAAATCAGCCCTCTGTCAGATGTGGGGTTGGTGAATATTTTTTCCCATTCTGTAGGCTGCCGTTATTTTCTTGTTAACTGTATCCTTTGCCTTATATAAGCTTCTCAGTTTCAGGAGGTTCCATTTATTAATTGTCTGTCCCACACTACCGTCTCGCCAGCAAGAACGACGTGGCACACTCAGGATCCTTCTGCAGTAAAGCTTTAATGCATCTTGAGAGGGAGAGCATAAGCTTACAGAGCGGAGACCCCAAACATCCAAAACCCAACCCTTCTATAGGTTTACAACATTCGCCTCGGACGTGTCACCTCCTGACTGGCTGCAGCCCATCGGCCCATATGACACCACGGGAGAGGCAGAGGCCAAGGGAGGGAAAATCACCCTGCACCTGTGCACTGACTTGTTTACTCTCAACGCCAGCCAGATGCAGGCGCCATCTTGTAATGGAGAAAGCCGGGATGGCTCCCTACAATTGTCCATCTCAGTGTCTGTGCTGCTGGTGTTATGTTCAAAAGACAGTCTCCTGTAACAATTCCTTCAAGGGTACCTCCCACTTTCTCTTCTAAGAGGTTCAGTGTGGCTGGATTTATGTTGAGGTCTTTGATCCATTTGGACTTAAATTTTGTTCATGGCAATAGATATAGATCTGTCTGCAGTCTTCTACACATCACCATCCAGTTATGCTAGCACCATTTTTTGAAGGTGCTTTCTTTTTTTCATTGTATAATTTTAGCTGCTTTTTCCAAAATCAGGTGTTCATAGGTATGTGGGTTAATATCAAGGTTTTTCAGTTTGATCCGATTGGTCTTCCTGTCTATTTTTGTGTCAGTACTAAGCTGCTTTCAGTACTATAGCTCTTTAGTAGAGCTTAAAGTCAGGGATGGTGATGCTTCTGGAAGTTCCTTTATTGTACAAGGTCGTTTTGGCTGTCCTGGGTCTTTTGTTTTTCTGTATAATGTTGAATATCATCCTTCCAAGGTCTGTGAAGAATTGTGCTGGGATTTTAATGGGGATTGCATTGAATTTGTAAATTGCTTTTGGCAAGATTGACATTTTTACTATGTTGATCCTGCCTATCCATGAGCATGGGAGATCTTTCCATTTTCTGGTATCTTCTTAAATTTCTTTCTTGAAAGACTCAAATTGCTTGCTATACAGGTCTTTCACTTGTATAGAAAGTGTTACCCCAAGATATTTTATGTTGGTTGTGGCTATTGTAAAGGGTGATATTTCTCTGATTCTTTTCTCAGGCCCTTTATTGTCTATATATAGTAGAGCCTAACTCCTCAATCCAGTTTATTGGCCTCAGACTGATAGCTGCGAAACCAGCATAAGAATGACCTAGACCCCCTGAACATGGGTCTCAATTAGGAGGCCTGGGAAGTGTGTGGTACCTCTAACAAGGGAACCAGGATGTATCTCCAAACAGGGACATCAGGAGCCCATTCCTCATGGAGGGACACTGCCTTAGCAAAGAGACATGGGGGAGGGCGTAGGCCCTACCCCAAATTATTTGACAGACTTTCATGATCCCTCATGGAAGGTCTCAACCTTCCTGGGGAGTGGATGGGGGATGGGATGGAAGGTCTGTGGGGGCCATGGGAGGATGAGAGATAGAGGGAACTGGGATCTGTATGTAAAATAAGAAAATAATTTAAAAAGGAAAGAAAGAGTTTAAAAAAGAAAGAAAAGGTAACCTGATTATGAGTCAACACTGGGTGGTTTTCTTTGACTCTTATTTCACAGTTTCATATATGTATGCAGTACTTTCTGGTCTTATAATCCCTCCACTTTCTCTGAACGTCCTATATCCCCACCAGCTCCCATCCACATCTCAACAGCTCCCTATTCTTTTTTCATGTCTTGTGTTTTATTTTGTTTGTGCTTTAGAACACATTGGGACTAAGCAGAACTACTCATGGAAGAATGGACATAAATATTTTCATTGGTTTCCTGAGTAACCCACCTGTGGCCAAATCACTGGAAACCACTACTTCCCTCCCTCTCAGCAGCCATAGACTGCTATTAGATACTTTGGGTGTGTCCCATCTGTGGATCAAGGTTGATGAACTTGGTCTTATGCAGTCTCTGTGGAAGCAGCAATAGTTGTTGTGAATTCACTAGTACCATGGCCACATCATGTTCATTAGACAGGGTTTTACATTCTTTCTTCATATCTTCCACCACTTACATTCTTCCTTCCTCCTATTTTGAGGTGTTCCCTTAGTCTTAGAGGAGCTAATATGTGTACCACTGAAGAATGTGTAGTCCCTGCTCACTTGCTCTCCAAATTTTCTTTCTGAAACTCCTTGTTCTCAATCTGGACCTGTTTGCCCTTCAGGTGACATTTGGCAGTCTCAAGAGACCTATTTTGTTGCCACATTGTGGGTAGAGATCAAAGATGCCATCACACATCTTCCAATGCATAAGCCAACCCCTACAACGCAACAACAAAAATCACCTTGCCCCAAATGTCAGTAGTGCTAATATTGAGAGGCTGCACTGAAATGTAAAATCTAGTTTGTACCTTTAAGTGGAAATCTTCGATTCTGTCTACAGTAGCCAGATAGTTGTATGTTCTTAACCTAATGAGGGAAGTATTTGCCTAATGAGGGAAGTAAGGTAATAGATGCCACAGAGGTAAAAATCAGTTAGATTTTATAGGCAGAAATCGATCTTTTCAAGCCAGGAGAATTGTTCTGAGGGGTTTTCGGGAGTATTTTAAACTATCCTGCCCTTTAACATGAAAAAATACTTCAGTATAGACTCAGACTCCTTAAGGCAAAAACCTTGGGGGGTATTCTAGGGGTTTGGTCTTTTTTAAATACTTGCTGGAACAATATAGTTTTAGGGAAAGTGTAAACTTTCATCAAGCATAAACTTAAGTACATACTATGAAATATATCCAATCAAACATAATTGCAGGGGAAAAGAGAACATGAAGGAATGAACTAGTAGTTGATGTGTCTTTAAAATGTAGTGATTGATGTGAGCTCCATAGAAGCTGACATTATTTCATCTGGTCATGTTGCTTTAACTTTCTCCAGTATCGTGTACAGGAATGTACTCATTCACTGGAAATCCAGAGATATTGAAGAGATTGAAATCTGTTTCATCATTTCCATCAGTCTCACCATATAAAAAGCTACAAAACTTGCAGGTGATTCTTTCATGTCCTGCATCATTAGGTGTAATCATTCCACCAGCAACACAACCACCTACACATAATAGACTAAAATACCTTGATTATAATGTATTAGGCTCTGCTGAAACACTTCATGTGCACATCTCATTTCTCATCACAGATATCCTGTGAGGTAGATTTTTTTTAACCCATTTTTCAGATAACAGGAAAATTTTCAATAAGAGATGAAATACTCACTTTGCTTATATATCAAAAGTAGTTCTTATTTTAACAATGAGGAAAGTACTTTCATCATTAAACCTACAACATAGATATAACCCTATTTTCCTCCCACAACACATAATGAAAACTGAAAACATTGTTTTCAATTTTTTTGAGAAGAGATGTCTTAAGGATAATTGTTTGTCTCTGTCAACAAACAGTATATGCCCACACTCTGAGGCTGCTATGAAAATTTCCCATCTCTGCAAACTTGTAGAAGCTTTAAAGTGCAAGCCTTCTCCATTCTATAGAGTGTAGAAGATGGATGCGATTTATTTGTTTATTTGTTTATTTATTTATTTATTTGTCTTCAGGAAGCACTGAAAGAAAACCATAAGAGAAAAGAAATGGAAGAGAAGAGCAGAAGGGCAAAACTTGCGAAAGAGAAAGCTGAACAGGAGAAGCTGGAACGCCAGAAGAAGAAGAAGCAGCTCATTGATATAAACAAAGGTACAAAACCATTTCTAAACTGTTTCTAATGCTTGGAGTGACAGCACAGGCCTGGGAGGCATGAAGATTTCAGTCTCCAGATAATTTGTTACAGCTTAGTAAGCCTCTTTTAAAATTAATACATAATATATATATACACATATATTCAGACACACACATATATAAAAGTAATTGAATTTTATAAAGATGTGTAAAGTACACAGTGATTATGTTAAAAAATAATTATAAAGTGATTTTATTCTTGGTAGAATACTCAAACTTTATTGCTTTTTTTCCTGTTAGATTTATCTTATTTTGTTGTTTTTATTTCTTATCCTTCTACTCTAAACACTGAAACCTATGGGTAATCAATATGAGATGTTATATTGTTGACATCTTATTTTTCATTTATTTGCTATGACAGTATGTTCTAGAGAAGGCCAACCAAAAGGAAGAAGAGAGTGATATGAGAAGTGAAAGGCTGGGCTAGGGAGATGAGGTTCAGACCTTCATTTCCCTTTGTAGGCATGTATCTGTTGACAGTGCTATAACAACGTTCTCCTTGGGGGCTTTACATTTTAAGTCATAATAAATATTGACAGCACTATTACCAGGTGAAAAAAAGAGCTGCAGAGCATCTTGTTCCGTTGTGAAGTTAAGTATGTAGTCCCATGTAATATCCACTACATGTTCTCTCAACTAACAAAAATCACCATATGTTAGAAGTAGGGTTTGTTGTTGTTGTTGTTGTTAGATTTTGCGGAAGAGAAGACAAAATGCTCAGAATGGTGGCATAGATCTATATTCACAGCACTAAGGGAGTAGAAACTGGAAGATCACAACTGTAAGGCCAAACTGAGCTACAGAATGAGTTATACTTTATCTAAAAACAGATTGGGGTGATAAGGGGCCAGGTGGACTGACAAGGAAAGGTAAATAGGACTCAGTAATCTTCACTAAAATGTTAAGAATAGAAAGCATGGCTGCTTTCCTTGAGAAAGTAACTTTCACAGTAGGAAGAAAGGAGCTTCCTGTCTTCTATTTAAGGACTAAAAGAACCAAAAGGTTAAATTAAACCAAAAGCAAAGCCAACTCTGATGAAGATACAAAGCTGTATGCTTTATATTGGAGCATTCCCTGCTGTATTTAGCAATAATGAAAATTCCAAATACTTTTACAATATTGGTCATGTAGCAAGCGCTATTTTAAGATTTAATACATTCTAAGACAAGTTTCAAATCGATCCTTCTATCTCTATGAAGTGGGCACTATAATCGTTGCATTGTTTGGATAAGAAACTGAGGGTCATACAGTATAAGGAATTTACTCCAATAGAGTACACAAACAGCAAGTGTTAGCACTGAAATAGAATGGAAGTTGTCTGACTACAGAATCTTTACACTTATCCTTGCCTCTGTTAATCAACATTAATAGCTAATATTCTATAGCATTTACTATGGTCGAAGACAGACATTTTAGGTATTGGCTCATTTGCTTATGGAAGCTGACAAGTCCAGAATCAACAAGAAATGTCCACAGGCTAGAAATCCAGGGGGCGTCAAAGTCTAAATCTGCTTTTCCTCCTGCCTGAGTAAATTTTGTCTTTTCATATTACTAAGATCTTCAGGTGATCCATGAGATCCATTCTTATAAGAGAATGCAATTTGCTTTATTCAAGCACATCAATTTGAAAGTTAAAAATCTTCCAAAAATATCCTCACAGAAACATCCAGGACAATGTTTGACCATGTTTCTGGACCATGTTGCTCAGTCAAGTTACACAAAAAATTAAGCATCACAAGAAGAGTGTGGAAAAATAAAGCTGGCAGTCTCTGGTGATTGCTTACATGTAGGCGTTGAGAGGTGAAGGCCCTAAGGAAGGTAATATATTCACAGAGAAAGAAAATTCAATATTAAAACACATTTGGTTGTGAGGGTTACAGTGGGGATTATCATTCGACTATGTTTGGTTTTCTAATGTCTTAGAAAGAATCCTTTAAGAAGGAAATCTTTAAGAAGCAACACTGAGGTTGAAACCCAGGAAATCAGTCTAAACGACATGTACACGGTTCTGTTTGAAGATTAGAATTGTGAAGTATTAGTTTACCAAAGATGCTGTAAGAAAATGCTACAAACCAGTAGCTTAAAATAAAAGGTCTATTATCTTCCACTTCTAAAGACTCGAAGTCCAAGATCAAGGTAACAACCAGGCTACATTCCTTGGGCAAACACTAAATCCTCCCTTCACCTCAGTATTTACCAGTCTTTCACTATTTTTCTGAAAATATGCATACATTTGATCAAGATACAGACAATTATCCCTTCTAGTATTATTGAAAGCACTGTAAAAAAAAATCAAATAAGTCTTTTTTTCTACAAATGCTGAGCTTGAGGGATGTGAGTATAAAAGATGCATTTTAAAATAAGATTTATCTGTGCTAGATGACACAGTGGTTAAAAATGCAGGCTGGTCTCTCAGAAGATCACATGTAGTTTGCAGCAACCACATCAGGTAACTCACATCCACCTATAATTCCAGTTCCAAGTGATATTATACCCTCTTTTGACCTCCATGGACTCTGAACTAACACATGCAACAATCCACCCTCAGACATACATGTAATTTTAAAATAAAAATAAATAATATTTATCTTTAAATGATTGTTACTATATATAGTTCAATCAAATAGTAAACTTCATATATACATATATATGTGTGTATGTATATGTAATATATTTTACATGTTGGCTGTGTTCATATTTTGAATAAGTTCTGAAAGACATCTCTAAGATTATGCAGGTACAGTCTAACTTGTAATAATGAAAAGATGCAGAAAAAGAAGAATATACTCATATGTCAAGATGGAGCTCCATGTATTACATAGATAAGTATAATTTTATCCATTAATCAAAAATGATAATAATGTTTAAATGCCAATTACTCTTATGTGATATTTGGACATTGCATATGTGTATATAATTATCACATTGACAACTGTAAATGTATAGTTACAATAATAACTGAGGATAAGGAATATACTCCAGTAGTCAAATCCTTGTCTCCCACTTGCAAGGACCTCTTTTTATTTCCAGTAACACAAAATTAAGAAAAACTAAAAAAAAAACTTTTATAATTTAACTAAAAATACATTTGTTAACCATTTCTAACTACTAGTTAACAATTTCTACTTTATATCAATTTAAGAAAAAAGACAAATTATTGTAGAACAACTGTACGTGAGCTCGTAAAACTCCTAGGTAGCAACAATGAAATAAAGTAATCTGACATGGAAAATTATATGCATTTATCATGGAGAAATGTATTAAGAATTAATCATTCAAAAAGAATAGAATAATTACAACATAAATGATTATACCTGAAATCCAAATATCATCAACTAAGTTCAGAAATAATTACAGAGATCACAAAAGCCAAGAAGAAAATGTTAATGTTCAAGATAGAAACATAAAAATACCATGTATCAGATCTTCAGTTTTAAAGACGTGGAGATCAGAATGCAAAAGTCATGACAGGAGACCATATTTCATATTGTAAATGAGAAAATAGGTTTTATATGCTAAGAAGACCCATAATTTGTGAGCCTGTTTAAAAGGTGACTTCTGTGTTAAGAATGCGTCCATTTTAGCCCCACCACCAAGATTTATGCTCATGAATTTTTTTCCCTTTATCTGTTGATGTTTAAGGTCCCTCGGCTATAACATGGAACAATGTAATTTATCTTCTATAGTTTTAATGAATATTAAATCAGTAAAAACACAGGACCTAGAATATACTCGCTGTTGATGCTGATGAGTCTTTTAATGCTCATTGAAGAATCTGGAAAATGCTTAAGAAATACTTCCCACCTTTAAGAAGTTTTCAGTTTTGTCAAAGAGATTTAATAAATCTGAACCAGCAGCTAGGAAATTGTGTGCTGATACATGATAGAGATTATTTGCTTTGTAGGCCTATCCAAAGGGAAAAATCAATTTGGTTTGGCAAAATGTTAAGTCTTTGTGGAGAAGAACAAGTGTAGTTTCTGTGCATATTAGTTGAGCTACTCCATGAAAAATGGGTCAAATTTTGCTATACACAGGCCAAACTTTTTAAGGAAAGGGGAAATGCATCATCAGTACTACACATCAGCATGTCAGGTAACAGGGCCTTAGTTAAACTATGTTTAATTGATTGTGGGAAAATACAACAAGGTGATGAAGAGCATGAGATCCTAAATTCAAGTCCTGTCTCCATAATTTACTAGGCTATAATCTGTCAGTGTGTTGCAGCTTTATATGCCTGACTCTCCTCATAAAGTGAAATAGTATCAGTAGTTTTCTCTATTGTGAATATTAAATATGAAAACCAACAAAATTGCCACAGATGAGCAGTATTTGTACTCTAGTCGACACAGCAAATATATAATGATGTCTTTTAATATATTCACAGTCTGATGCTTTCATGCTAAGTGGATATTTTCTCTTATATTTTTTGGTCAGGAAGACAGTGGGTATGAAGAACTGTAGGAAAGGGAGGATGGAGCCAGCCTATGAAAGTACATGGAAGTGAGACACAAGAGTATGGCATGATGAGGGAGGAGAGCCCAGGTTATTGAAGGAATCCTTTCGGAGATTGCTGAGGTAGTAAGCCTGAAGCACAAGAAAGGAGAGGTGACTACAAGGAGGAAGTTACTGAGAAAGAACAGGGAAAGGCAAAGAAAAAGGAGTTAGCTTGTAGCTGATTCTTTCTTCAAAGGAGTTTAAACCTGTGGCAGCTTACGAAGGTGCTTGCAGGAAGAAAAAAAAATTATGAAAGAGTGAAGGAAGACAGTGTGAGTTCCAAGCCTCAGTTTTTCAAAAGAGCAAGAGATTTCTTTTTTCAGAACTGCACAGTTTTACCAATAGATAATTATATATTGATATCTTTCAGCACATTAGGTTATTTCATTCATCCAACTAACATTTATTGCACCATTTCCCAAATAACCATAATTAGAGCATGCACAGTAATATAGTATTTATTT